TACACAGTGCTGTAAATATTGTCTAGGATTACTATTATTATGCACATCTAGTAATTTATAATTGATATTACATTATAAATATTATATATAGACAGATTGGTAGATATCTGTCTGTTCGTTGATTATATTATCACGTAGAGGCACATAGATTTAATTCGCTAAAAGTAGTCAAGTAGCGGCAAAAGAAAAGTAAATAAAAAGCAAGGTAGGTAATATCACATATAACATAACATTACATATTTATAAAAAAAATAGCCGGTACCAGTGACTTCATCTACTTATTAGCAATAAATTATTGCAATAATAACTAATGTCAGTTCTCGTAATATAATATGACTTCACAATTAAATTGCATTGAAGTACCGTCAATGGTTCAACCGTCAGTACCGTCAGTGAAAAGATAATAAACAGTTAGACATACTTTTGTATTCATAAAGTTAGTATAGCTATTAATTAGATCTTTGTAAATGAATTGTTTTGTCAACAAATTTTAACACAAGCTACTAATTACATGAAATAAAATTATACAGAGTGATTATATTACTAAACAGCGTGATGTACGGGAAGTGAATACTCGTGCTTGAAATTAGAGGGTTGAAGTAATGTTTTGGAGAATTGTTGTAAGAGGTTATAGGTATTTTATATCTTGTTTTATAGCTTCCTATAATTGACAATATTTAGATTCCTAATTTTCAAGTATCTATGGGTAATATGATATTACAAAGGTGAAAGATTTTATTGTTTGTTTGTCTTGAACTGGCTCCTAAGTATCTAGATTGATTTGAAAAAGTTCTTTCACTATTAGAATCCTACAATATACCTGATAAATGTGCGATAGGATATTTTCATAAATGTTAGAGATTCGTTTGAAAACTTCGATAATGCAGTTCAAAGTGTAAAAAAATTAAAGAAATCCTTATTGCGTATGCTGTGGATATTATTGATAATAGAGAAAAGTGATGTACTACGGTTTTATGAAGGCCATCAATAGCAAAGAGTGTACATATGTCTGTATGTTAATTTTTATAATTCAATCGTATTCGTAAAAACAATCGTACTCATGAATATAAATGTTTGCACCGTGCAAGGTATCGAACACACGATCATCGGAAGTAAGTCGGTGTGCTAAACCGTTACACCATTGAAGCGAAACCAGTAAAGTACTAAAATATTTTTTTTTAATGTAAATATATTTAAAAAAATACGTGACGATATTCTATGGCACTTATGAACTTATTATTGGCAAAATATCCTTCTTTTCAATATTTAACATTTTATATAAAAGCGCGAAGAAGTGTCATGGCGTCGCTTTATGACGCCATTCATATTCGCTTAGGTACATTGTATCATCGACAGGATGTAATATTGTACTGATATTATCTGATAGAAGAAAAGTGATAGGTGAGATATAATGGCTGTTTCACACAATACAACGGATAGCTATAATTAACTCTGTAAAATAATTTATAGAAAGACACAAAGTAAATAAAAACAACAGAGAATGTCGTAGTGTAGTGATTAACTATCACGTAATTATAGCTCTATCCGCAAAAAGTATTTATATAGGTAGGACTAGTTACGACCCGTGAATTTTTTTGCATAAACTTTTATCCCGAATTCATCCATCTACATTAGTGGATATTTTATAGAAAAGATAGACTCTATCCGTTCTTGTCATGCATTCTGGTTTCAAATCAAATTTGATTAAAATCCATTTGGCCGAATAGTCGAGTCAATGTATTAAACAGAAAGGCACTCTTTTGTATTTATAATGTTAATATGGATAGACAAAAAGGCAAGGCTGCAAAAGTCCATACCTTTTATTCTATAATTTCATTACCTTCTTAACTATTTTCAAGACCTTCGGAATGGCTACGCATTAGTAGTGGTCGGCTGTTCATACAGTTTATACATATAGGCACCTGTTAACATTAGATAGGCAGTCAATCTATTTGCCACTATATATATATAATAACATAACAAAGAATAATTTAAAAAGATGTCTATACGAAATATAATAGCATTTAACCCACATCAGTTCGAGAAATTTTCAATCAGTACCAGTAGAATATAAAACAAGCAACTCCTGTTTTGAATAGTTTATGAATAATCCGTGCTTATAAACATAATGAACACGAAAGTGTGTCAGTCTGTTACCTTTTAACCGGTTGAACGAATCTTAATGGAATTTGACGTGAAGATAAATTGAATCACGGGGTCAAATATAGCCTGCCTTTTATTTCAAAAAATAATCTTCTAGCCGTGAAATAAGGGATGAAAGTAAATTATATAATTGGTCTTCATCCCCTATTTTATATAATTAAATTGAATTGCAGGAATAATGCATGCATTATTTTTTTAGTTAAAGAATTATAAGTAGGTATTTATTTAACTTAATTTTGGTTAGATCAGCAATTTCAATGTTTTAGGAATCTACTTTATGTGACTAAAACTCTATTTTTTTACTTAGTTACGGAAAAATTTTAGCACACCTGAACGCGCCAGAACTAACTCCTGACATGTGACGGCTTTTCTGTTTTTATGGACCCGAAAGTAATTTTAATATTGGGTTTTATATTGTAACTAGCTACTTGGCCTGGCTTCGCACGGGTGTACGTGTATTACATATATAAATGTTACCTTTGAATCACTCTTTCTATTAAAAACTGCTTCAAATTCAATTTAGAAGATTTAAACATACATAGGGACAGATAGCGACAGCGACTTTTTTTTATTCTACGTAATGATAATGATCTAGAGGTCAATTTAAGGCTGCACTCATGTTAAATACTACCACTACATATTTTGACAGGTTTGAGAAATAGTTTATATCTGACATTACTAAAGTTGTATACCGGTAATATGTTTAAATATTAGTTATTTTACTAATTTTGCTCTAATCATACAGCATATTTGTAAAAAGGAATGTCGACGAAAAGGATACATCAATTTTGACGCCACAGTAGATATCTACGTGTTTATGCTATTTCAGTCTCATCACATAAACAAATAATAAATCTATTTGAAACATTAATAAGGATATGGGTTATATAATATATACAAAAATCTAAATATTTTATTAAATGTATTTTATACTAACATACTTACCTTACGAACGAATTTGTAGTTATCTACAACTTTGTACGCACGGATTACAAATTAACAAAGTGTAGCATGCTTTTTTTGTGTAATTTATACTTGGAGATATTCGTTATATCTTAAGTGTAGTAATTATATATTTATTGATCATACCTACACAAATACTTAAAAATTTATTCAACATCATCTCTCAATACTTTATAAAATCAGTTCGTCTTTATGGCAGCAGTTATGTCATTATAATATTCTACTAATCCAACAGTACATATGATCATTTGCCATCCTTTCTGATGAAATCATATATATGTGTGATATTTATAAATAAATGTAGGTAAAGATGTTGTGAAAATAGTTCAAATAGGATTTATTGTGTGAAGTTAGTGGTGATTTATTCACGTCTAAGAAAAATTACCGAATGAGAGCAGTGTATATATTTATGTAGTTTAGAGGATTAGATATACAGTTCTTTGGAAAAGTTTTCCGAATAAACAACGTTGTTTTAGTGTAATTATTATTACGTATTGTGATTTTCATAAGGAAATTTCCTTACACGGAATACAATACAATTAGTTAATTAGCGACACTAATAAGTAATACTTATATATCTTAACAATATTTCATAATGTACCTACCATTATACTCCTGGTTATGACGTACCCACCTATACTTTCAATTTATTTTTATGACATTATTTTAAGCAAAACATCTCATAAGAAGTACAAACAATGGACAGATTATTTAACTATTATACCTGTGAATTGGTAGTCGGTTTTCGACACCAAGGGTTCCAAAACAAATATCGTAATCGAATTTTAGTTTCTTTACTGACGTATGTAGGCACGGTGACGGAATATGAAATATCATATTGTTGTTTTAGCATAATATTTAATATGTATCTATTTTATAAATTTATATTATATAATATTTAAAGAATTTAAGTCTGTCTGTATGCAGGTAACGTATGCTAGTATGTTTCTTGTAGGTAACGTATAATTATATAAAAGATTTCCTTGGTTTATATCAAATAGGGTTGAAATATAGCATGCCGGCTAACTATTAGGTAAACGTAGGAGATTTTTGATGATTTCTAAAAACTGTCTCGTATTCTATATTTATCTAGTCTAGGTAGGTATATAGGTAACTATATTTTCCTTTACTACAATATCTATTATATTATATTATATATCTGAAATATTATATATAGTGTAATTTGGAAAATATTGCATAGTATATAAAATGTAAATATTAATACTAATTTGGCATATTTATACGAAATTAGAGTTAGTATGTTCTTTATATGTAAATTTTTAATTCCTTTAAACATAATATCTTAAATTATATTGCTGAATATACATGTACCTACAGAGTTTTTAAGAAACATAAGCCATTGTTAACATATATTTTATCAATATCCTTCTATATGTTATGTTGTATGTTCCTGTAATTTAAAATAAATATCGAGAGGCATTTTAGTACGTAGATTTTTACCTACTGACTAAAGATGTAGATTGTAGAATGGTGTAGAATATATTATATTATTAGCGAAATTCTTCCTCGTATATTAAAATTAAACATGCGGTATGTATTTAATAATTTTAGAAAACTTTTGACCTCATCTGTAAATAGTGACACAACTTTTTGTAACAAATCTCGGTATTAGTTAATTTGTCTTATGTACATTACACTTAATTCAATATATTTTTATATCGTTATTAATAGGTCTGAATTTAGATTTTTATTATTCAAATATGCACATTAGATAAAAAATTCAAAATCCATAAATATTAAAAAACTAACAACAAGGCGTTAGCGAAAAAATATTTTGTTTTTTATTCTAATCTTGATTTGATATTCTAGTTTATTAAACGCGAAATTTTAAAGTTATTTTTCCGTTTACATACGAGAGTTGTTAGTATAACACGAGTCGCGATGTGAGATCGGCCTTAGCGACTACTGCCCGCTATGGCAACAAGAAACCGACTGAATTCGTTTCACCCGTCTCGTAGAGATTTCATCTTGATAGAGAGTTGTAGGGCTGCTGCGCATATTGTGTTGTCCTTTCGTAAGCTTCCTTTGGTCTAATCTTTAATTTTATTGTTGTTTGTTTTATTTGTTGTCATATTGTTATCTGGTGCGACATTAATTTAGGGGATTCATTTATTTAATTACTTTAAGAATAAATGAGATTTTTTTAAAATATCATAATTAATATTTTTTTTTTAATATGTTACACAAAATATTAGAAAATATTTAGACATTTAAAAGGTTATGAATATAAATGTCCATAACACCAAAAAATAACTTTTTTAAATTGCAAATATACCCAGCGAAATATGGGCTTGTCAACAGTTGCCTTCACCATGGCCACGTAGCAGCATAATTAAACATTCAATGTATTTTTATCCTAAAATTATGTATGGTATAAAAATTATAGTTTTTAATAATACCTTCAAATATTAAACGTATGTATTTCACGATTTATTTGTACATTCTAAAACATACACATACATTTCTAAAAAAATATGTCTCTCTTTCATGCTATACGTTGGGCAGAGATATAATAAAATAAAACCCGCTTACTTACCGTATTATACTGTTATTAGGATGACATTCAATAGGTAATTGGAATAATAATACTAATAAAAATCACAGGTACTGTATAAAGTCGTAAATATGTAACCATCCATGTATATACCTTATTCTCAAATAATTCAGCCTCCAAACAGGTTGCTCTGTAAGATGTGTTTCGATTATAAGGTGTTGATTAGGTAGTGAATACTATAAGGCAATAGGTAATAATAATAAAAACCATAGCTACTGTAAAAAGTGAGATGTATCGTATAAGCAGTTTGCTTTGTAAGCTGTGTTTCATTTGTAGGGTATAGATTAGGTAGTGAAATTACTGGATAAGAGGTATAATTTCGTTTTCTGGAATGGCAACGCCTAAATGGTATCGCGTTTCACAGGGTAATGCGATGTCCGTAGTGAATTTCGGGTGTAGGGGATACCTTACCTTTTACAGCGGGAGTCCGCATGTTCGTCATTTAGAATACTATTAAAAATACAATAATATTATTATTTTTAGTGACTAGGTTGCATAATTCAGATATTCAAGTAAGTGTTTTTTATGAAGTCATTATATTTTTGTCAATTGAAATATTTGTAGTTCCTTGTATTAAAATATTTATGATTAATGTTTTTACTTTTGTACATATTTACATAATTGCTCTATAATCCGGCTCTATAAATATCGGTCGTGTGTTATTTCTAAATTGAAAAATAGTATATCTACTCAATTTATATTCTACTGTTTACTATGTTGTTGACATGTTGCTTACAAGACGTGCGTTCGTGCAATTGTGCATTTTGAAGGAATTGCATGTTATCAAATATTTTGAAGTCCATGTTTGTATACGTGCTACCAGAAACTGTTGCAGCTTTGCAAGGTTTCTGGTGGCATTATGTTTTAAAGCTCTCACAATGTTAAGGAAATTCGACATCATAGCCTGTGCGATGTGCTGTTTACACTTCATAATAAAAATGTAACTGTTCACGAGCATGGTCTGTTCCTGAAAGATATATGGAAAAAAACTATTATTAGTAGATTTTGTTCATGAAATACAAAAACAGACAGTGATTGTATAAACTATTGTCTGTGTTTCTGTGCATTGTCACTGATACATTGTTTCTTCATATAAAACTTTGTGTTTCTTTATTTCCAAAGGTACGGAAATAAAAAATTATGAACTATTATTATTGCAAATAATTCCACTCGTATGAAGTAGCGATCTCACCTGGTAAAAAATACATATATCCTTTCAATTAAATATTTTTTTTATGTGATTATTAGTTATTATATCTCTTTTCAGCTTAACACATTCCTACATGTTCGTTTAAGGTGTTCGGATTTTAATTAACTTGATCAACCCATTGTATATTTGAATGCTAATTATAAGAATCCGAGTATTTTCTTTTTTAATGTATCTATAACTGTAATTCCGTATTTACATTTAAATGTTTTAGAGAATAAATCACTCAGCGATAACATTTACAGCAGCTCGTGTTACATAAGTTATGTACCTATTGAATGTTTAAAGATAGTATTCTGATCTGTTAAGAAAACCATTCCTCTGGGCCATCCCACAATACGTATTTACCGAAAGTTGTGTTTTTAACATGTGATAATAGCTATAAATCGATACAATCGCCTTAATTTTTATTAGGTATAAATACAACTGTACAACTTACACGGCGCTTTTTAGTTTTAAACTAAGCAGAATTATTATAGTATGGTTACTTGACAGATATATAAATAGATAGATAATGTTTTTATTTACATTAAAAGGCATACACAACTATGTACAGAATATAATAGAACTATGTATAATAATGATCACTAAACAATATACAATATAGACATAAACAATATATGAGTAATTTAGCGTGTATACATTACAAAAATGGCAGTGTATTGTTTGCTCAAGCTGCATACACCGATTTTGAAATATTGCACGCGGACATACGCGAGGATGCATGCAACAAGACCGTCGCGTCCAACCAGCCCTACTACACAATCATCATATATATATATATAGTAAACAAACAACTGAGACCATGATACACATGTTCGTAGTTCTACCGTCTAAACTTAATACAAAGCAGTCTTAGATACCTCTGTCTTAATTATTTCAGCCGTCAAGCAGTTTGCTTTGTAGGCTGCATTTAAATTGAAAATTAATTGAAATTTCAGGGTATGAAGGCATATACGTACCCAATTTTAAAGAGACTTGGGGCCATGCCCCAAAACGATAGTGATATCCATGGGGCTATTCATTTATGTAGGCGATAGCTACCATTCACCATCTGGACATTCTGCTCATTTATTATTGCAGTTATTTAAAAAAATATGCTGAGGTGAAATCTGTGGCAACCAGAATTATTAAGCACTGTGACAAACCTTTTTTCCCACTGTATCTGTAGATGAAGAAGAGTTACGTTATTTAGAGGAGGCTACCACGGTGTAGACCTACAAAGGCTTCTTTATGGCTTACGACCTTGATGCCCCCGCACCTCGAGCCCCACTAGCATCATCCATAGCAACGCGTTGAAATCTTCACCCCCGCTGACTTCTTCATAGGATCAATATTATTGAAAGATCACTCGCGTTTTCAGCTACGCCACCCGTGATATACCGTCGCTGCCAGGAAAGTATTTTTTTAATTAATGATATTGGAATGGTGCACCCGCTTGTGCTAATGGCGGGGCATCAGTGGAGCATGATATGACGAGTATTAAGTTAAGCCGTTAGCTCATCATGACGAATTTACCAGAAATTAACCACGATGATATCCAGGGGGGGAGGGGGGCTCTATTCATCAACTGGCTTGAGGATGTGAGCCATTTGGTTTTTTGCTGGAGCAAAGAATTATATCCATTTTTAAATTGCTTTTCCTCTTCCAATTATACGAATAACTGTGATAGGTAATATTAGATAACCTAGATGATAATTTATTATTAGGAAAGTAATATGGCATAGCAATACTCATACGAAATTACTAATTGTTTATTTTTATTTTACTTAAGCTATGATGTAATAATATTTTAACCGGCTTTTTTTTATTGTTCTCTCTTGTGTGAGATTTAAACACACAAATATACAGGCATTTTTCGAATTTATTCTATTTTACTGTTTTATTACGAGTAAAGATAAATCTGAAAGCTGAAGAAGCGGTACCTATTTTATAATTATAAATATAAAGTATTAATAATGGCAATATTGAAAAATATATTAGCGATGAAAGTGACATCAAGTGGTTTACCTACTGTGGAGTTTGACGTCTCATTACGAGACGACCTCGGGCATGACCCTGTAATGTATTAGCTGTTTTTGCTTCAGTTACTGTTCTGAGTGTATTATACTCACCACAGAGTATTATTAGGGTTTTGTTTTACGTCAGCAATGTCAGTCAAAAATGCTTACAATATTTTACATTGTGTATAGCTAAACCATTTCTCTATGGAAAAATTATATTTTTACTTCTTTATGTTTGCTTGTACCTACTGTATTTTTAATACGATTGTTTTTTGTAATACTTAAAAGCTTGAAAGCTTTTTCATCTGTATATAACTATATTAAGCTGTAAAACAAAATATCTGCATAGTGGCAGGTACCTGTTCAAATCTATGAAAAATTTAATATTTTGCCATTTTCAAGATCAAAGAGCGATAATAGTTTTTGCAATTGCTGCTTGCAATTTACTGAAATGGTAAAATCTGCGTTTTGCGAGACAAGAGCTACTTCCGTCGTCAAAGGGAAAATAGCTGTTTCGGATTATTATTTTTCTCATTATAGAAGAAAGTATTAGAAATCTAGAAAAAGGAATTTAAGAGAAAATTTTTCAATTTTAAAAAAAACTTGTTATTGCGACTTGACCCAAGCATTTAATATTCTAAGCCATACATGCCTCTTTATACTGGAATGAAATATCCTTCCGCCAAATAATTACAAATATATTATAATAGGTCTTCATTTACCAATATTTATTTTATATATTTTTTCTGCACGATAAGCAAAGTTGTTAAAAAATAAAAGTTATTTAATTCTAAATATTTTTATATGCATGGAGTGAGATAGATATAATAATAAAAAGGTCTGCAATTATCAATACGGCGCAACAAACATCACTTTATAAGAGTTGGGTATGAGAATTGAACTAAAAAGGAAAGTATACACAACTTCACTGGCTCACCTGTATTCACCGCTGGTATATTGTGCTGAAAACATTTGTTACATAAATAATTAATAATAAATTATTCTGTACCTAGTGAAACAAATCTGGTTTTCAACATTTATTATTAAATTTACACAGTAAAATACTGTCTGTATCGTACTAAGTCAATTTCATTTTAAGTTTCTCAATAAAAATATTATTGCTAGTATCATACAAAAAGAAACATGTGGTGTAGATATTAATTTTCATGATACCCAATATTAAAAATATAGTACCTACACTGCATTATTTTTCTTTACAGTCAATATACAGTAAGCCACAACAGTAAATAAAACAAAAACATAACATGTCAAATGTCATTACTGCTCTCATTTTTCAAAACTGTAAATAAACAACACAAATATATTTTACTTACCAAATTATTGTTTATTCTACATAAAAGCAGCTTTTGTTAATTTTTTATTAATAAAAAAAAATTGTTATTATTAAAATGTCAGCATCACTTGATTCTGCTTTGGATCCCATGGAAGAGATTCGTTTTCGTAAGAAACACGGTGCAATGTGGATGGATATACAGAAGGAAACACATTTCACGTTCAACGAATTAGAACGTAAGTTGAATCATAACTATAACTTCATTCGACTCCGTTACGCGTTTTTAAGCTGCCGAAGAAGAAATACCAAAAAAACTAAATGCAAATTACTTGAGTGACTTATCAGTTTTATAAAGGTTGACTTTGTACAAAATCTTTAGCATTTAAGGATTATATTTCTTGCTTATCGTAAAACGTGCATTATTTTAATATACTACATAATTGAGATTCCAAGAACGTTACCAAAGTAAAGTGTAGTATATATATGGATATATGTCTCAGTAACCCATTTCAAAAGAAAGTTAAACCGTTATGTGTATAATTCTATGATGCATTTTTCCGCCAATAACGACATTAAAGTCGTAAGGCTTTTTAAATTAGGCAAGAGAGCTTATTTATCAAACTCCCTTAGGCTGTCTTTAAAATACAAGCACGAAATTACGATTCTGGGAATCTCATTTCTTTCTGGTTGTATTGAATACACACTAAACAGATACGGTAAATAATAAAATTAGGCCTCTTAAGTCTTTTTTTTAATATGTATTAAGTCGAAAGGATAATAACGATAATTAGCGTGAAATTGTGAGAAGTATGTATTTCAGTATTACTAGTAAAAAAATCAAATAAACAAAAACAAGCTTTAATAGATTTAATTATTTTGTTTATGCAAATGGAGCAAATAGAGTATCTTAATACTGACATATGTTCGGAACTCATAATGATGTATGCATTGCTTACAAACTCGATGAAGCCATAACAAATTTTTGCCATAAGAAGTTTTTAATTAAAAATCAGAGAATGGCATTTACGATAAGTAACCTTGGCTGAATATACTACTACATAGGTTGGGAAAGCCCAGGATATTTTTTAACATGAAAATTTGTTTAACATGAAAATAAACTATCTACTAAACGTGGGAAAGTGTAATATACTACAAGTGGTACAAGTAAAAGAATCCGATAGTAATAAGTCTAAGCAGTTAATCTCAAACTATAGGTATTTGCTAAATAGTGATTTTTATAAATAATTTTAATTTAGCAGCGATTTAACGAATAGACTGGGAAATAATATGTAGATAATGTTTTGTTATACTTATTAAATACCATAAATAACGACATTAATAATCTAAATCTAGGTTCTTCTACCAGTATCAATTCACCGAATACATATATAGAAAACTCGTATATTCATTTTTGGCTGGTTTGTATAAAAAATAAGTAAACATATCAGAACATATTTAATTTAACTAATTTAGAAATGATAATTTGAATTTATTTAAACATCAGTATGTTAGCTTAATGTACCAATACACGTTACTTTATCGACGTACAATTTCTCGTCCTTTCCAAACCTAACCATAAAATGCACGCATTGCTGTTTCCCGGTACAAAAAGGTAGACAAGGGTCCTGGACCCAAGAGAGTCACAAAGCTCTACCACCATTTATAAGTAGGCTAGGTTAGGTTATTATTTATTATTAGGATATTGAACAAATCAATAATTTGCATGTAATCTTTTGTTTTAAACTCTCTCCATGCTACATAGGTACCTATCGACACATTTTATTCATTCCTTTCATGTTAATAATATGAAGGTGCATAGCATGGTTACCTATTAATTTAATTAACTTCCTATACACGTACTTACATACAACACGCTACTTTAACATACAACAGTTTAATTATAAAGGAACGACATTGTTTATTTTAATTGTTACTCACTCTTTGTCAACTGTACATCAATTACCTATTATTACTCATGTGGAAAATTACAGTTGAGACATTCTAAGAGCATAATCATAAAAAGATTATTATTAAAATAGCTATATTTTTATTTTTTTCTAAACTGTCTATGATATTTACATATAATAATTACTAGCTACCCACCCCGGCTTTACCCGGGTGTACATGTATTATACACATCTTTCCTCTTGAATCACTCTATCTATTAAAATATACCGCTTCAAAATCCGTTGCGTACTTTTTAAGATTTAAGTATACGTAGGGACAGACAGCGACAACGACTTAGTTTTATACTATGTTCATTACATAGTATTATTTATAGAATATTTACATTGAAAATTAGAATATTTGCTGAACTAAATGAACTTCCATGTTTAAAAATTTTGTTCATTAAAAGTTTATAAAAATCGTTGTAAATATCTGATACTTGTAAGGGGACAAAGTAATAACTGTGCAATATCTGATACTATTTTATTGTGCAGGTAGGAACTTTTACAATTTAGATATTTCTCGCATATTCATTTTGTAGTGAAAAGAAAACTTGCATAAGATATGGTATGTATATATATTATATATAAGACCGCATTTTTACTAAGTTTTACTTACATATAAGTGTTATATATAATAAAAATGATTTCTATTAGTAATCGTAGTGGTATACTGCTCCATTTCGAATTCAAAGGTCGTGAATTTAAATTCAGCTAACATAATACTGATATCAAACTAAGTTAATCCAAGTGATGGTGGTAAGATCAACTGCTGCCACGTAAACTATTATAATATTTGAATTTTTTCTTCAAATATTTTATCATATAATAAAATATTTGGGCATATAAAGAGCTGTGTACACGACGTAGTCAGTTTACAAAGACTGCCTACCCCGTCTGGAAAAACACTCATGATATATATATGTATTTTGTATTATTTTTTATATATCGAAATAAATACAATGAAGTTATAATATATATAAAATACGATATGTTGTAAAAGTAATTTTTCTGATTTGCCTTGCCTCAGCCTTGAAAATATTACCTTTACCACAGATAACATAATATTACATATCTTTATTATGAAATGCAATTATCCTCTTATTTTTGCTATAACGTTAGAGCGGTGTCATAGAATATAGATGTTTTATTTTCTTTAAAGTAAAAGTAATATCTTCTATATACACAGATGAAGAAAATTTAATACTTGTATAATAAATTTTAAGAGACTGTTCTCTATTAGAATAAATCTTGTTAAAATGACTGTTTACTTATCTAACATTGAAATTATCGCATTTTTTAAGTATGAGTCTTAGATTACTTGCGGAAAGTAAGATAGTTTAAACATTCAAGTACTAATAGGTATATCGTGAGCAATTTTCTTACAATAAATGTATACGTTTAAAACATATGTGTCTTTGTTTAAATTGACTATTTTTACGAAGGCCCCTCTTTTAAGGGACTACTTTTACAAGGCTGGTCAGTTAGCGTAAATTACATTGCAAAGGACAGTAGGCGTAGGCAACTGTTATTCAAGGCTGAGGTAGAAGGCGCCTACGTATACACAGGGATAACAACATGTCTACTTAATTTGTATTTAGACTGGATATAGAACATTGGGTGAGAGGTGGCTATTTTCATTGGTTTACCTCTCTCTCTACTGTTTTCTCACATTTTTTATACTATTTAAATACGTCCGCGTGTAGCAATAGCAAAATAGCTTATTTAGGTGGATTAGAGAGTAAATATTTCACTTCGCAGTAAAAAATACAGTCTTTGGCTGTACTAACAAACTCACTTGATTGTCAATAATCTATAGAACGAACTGCACTTTTAAATAGGATTTCTTGTGAAAGATCAATTTTGATAATGTAATATATATATAAATGCTTGTGTTATATATATATATATATATATATATATATATACTGATATATAATGAATTGTATGAGATTAATGTATATATACTGAAGCGGACTTTTTTTAACGTGCAAGAGAAACAAACCCACTGTAAATCATCTTAATGTAAGTCTAACGCTTTATACAGCGCAGGCCAAGATAGTTCTCAGATTCAACAATTTTTTGCAACTTACAAGTACTTTATTGCTATCGTTATATTTTACTCAATTCATCCAATATTATTTATACAAAACGTTTAATATTTAATTATAGCTATAGTGTTATCATTACTGGCCACATACCTTTATAATTCATATATTGTATTATCGCTATTAAGAATATTATTATATATTTTTGTTAAGAGAACACTTAGTGTCGAACAAATATTGTGACAGACAACAACAATTATACATTACTGTTTCATCGAAATTCCGTCAGTAGTTTTTGTGGCTATATTTACGTAGAAACGAAAATAAATATAAGCAGCAGTATATTCCGGCACGGAAATCTTTTAACCTTTTTTAAAACAATAAAGAAGATGCCAAAAATTAGTAGTATGTTTCTCTCTAGTATCTCCTTTATTCTTTAAAACTACTATATAATTCGTATCTTTGTGCACTAAATATGGAACTTGAAGAAACGTGGGTTAGTGTTATTTTTGACGAAGTTAAACCAACCAGTCAGCTTGCTAGCCATCATATCGTTTAATAAAAAGTTTATAACAATCTTGATTTATTATTCCATATTCTATAATTTATTTTTCATTACTGGGGAAAATGAAAAATAAATTATATTATAATTCTGCTTTTTATAAATATATCAGTATATATTTATAAAAAGCAGAATCAGCTAATTTTGTTAAAAATATTTTATTTTTGATTAAAAGTTTATACTTAAGCCATTTTCGTTTACTCAGAGCGTAATATAAAAAGTTTATGAACTGGTAAGGATCCCACTGCTGTCATAAAGGACTTGTAGGCCCAGTGCATCTAGAGGTGGACGTAGATTTATAAGCTTCGTTTTTTACATTATCTTTCAAGATACTTATATAGTATATAAATAGAATTTATAATATTCTTATACATTTTCTGTAGCAATAGGGAAATATTCAAGAAATAGAAAATCTATCTACATCAATATAAAAAGGAATAATTTGCGTTTTTCTATGTTTGTAAAGAATAAACTCAAAAATTTAACTATCTATGTTACTTAGAGATAATTATTACATTATCTCTAAGTAACATAGGCATAACTATTACTAGAAAACAAAATAGGCATTCCTATTAAATAGTATAAAATTTATCATTAAATGTATCATTATATACAAATGATTAAATATCATTATATTTACGGATATTGTTTGATTAAGCAATATTCGGGATATATCTAATTCTTATATTATATCTAATTATCGGGATATAATCTAAACTATTTTTTTCGGATTATTCTAATGCTGTTGGCTACAACTTGCCTTGGGGCAGAGGCCATTCCAAACCCGCTGAAGGATGTATGGAGCGGCTGAAGACTTCTGCCTCTCGGAGGTGACTTCAGTCAGACAGCACCGCTAGGGGTTCGGGCCTCGGCTTAGACCATCGTAATTTCGATCTTAGTTTTAATGGAACAGGAGATAGATTAAATATACATTGAAAGCTTTGTGGAGTTTCACCTTCTATCACCGAAAAGGATTACTTGTTTATACATATCTACTTGTAGCCTCGTACAGATAGTTCTTATTGTTTCAGAAATAATGGTGATATTCTTCAAAATTCAAAAGCGAGACGATAAACCTAGTGCATCGGATTTGATATCTAGGTTTGTTTTGTATTGTAGTTCCTTTATTCGTCTATAATAATATATTATTTTATAGAAAAATACCGAAATTTTGTGTTAATTACTATAAGGTACTCATACTTTTTCTTGGGGTGCAAGTTTTATATCATACTGGAAACAAATCAGGCCTCCCCAGCAAATAATAGTTTTACTATACAATACAAGACTCTTATAAATTAATTAAAAGTATTATATTACCTATTAGTTAATATATGTATAATATAGTATACGCCTCAGGAGGAATACGTGAATATATATATATATATATTGGCATCTGACCACAACCATAAAGACATAATTGAACCTCAGAATGCGCTAGTTCACTGCGTTCCGTGAATGCGAATGAATTTTATAGCTATTCTGATGTAAAAGCTATGTTATTGTTAAAGCTATGTAATATATTCTGTAGGATTTGTGTGAAAATTAACAAACATCCATCCATCCATCCATCTACACTCACAATTTTCCGCGTTTATAATATAAGGAAGATTAATCTGGGTGTTTTGTACGTAATAATAAGTATTTAAATATTCCTTAGTTATGTTTTTTATCAGTTGTCTAGTATCCATAACACTAACTATGCTTAGCTTGGAACTAGATGGCGCTGTATGAATTATCCAGGTTCATTATTTATATATGTTTATTTTATTATGAGATTCTTTTCTCTGTCGATTTCGAAATCCCGTTTCACGAGTATGTTCGATGTATATCGCGGATTACGTTTATTATATTTATCTGATTACAATCAGTAGGTTTATGAAATAAGTAGTTGTATATACCTACGACCTAAATATAAACGTTGTTAGTATTTCGTTAGCTATATTTCCCGTTGATGATCTTAACCTTTAGTCAATTCTATTTTAGTGGCTTGATTTAGTAAGTATTTATTTTCACTATTCTAGTTATCACCTTTAAAACATAAGAAAAATTTATAGATTTACTTATCTAGTTAATATTAATTTATAGGATATCTTTTAAACATCATATAATCTTATTATATACTTTGTAATCTTTACATATTCTACATTCCCCTGTTTAGGGATTTAGGGTAAAAAGATCAAAAACTCGTTGGGTTCGGGATTTAATCTAAAAGTTGATTGCGGTCTCTAGCGGATTAACATACTTTACGTTTTTGATTCAATACATAATTCTAAGTGTATACTCTATGAGAATTTGCACTACAAACATTGGTGATGTCCGAATTTTATACTACGATAACATAATATATTATACTAAAACTTTGTAAACATCTTTAAAAGATAGTAATAACTACTACCTAATAAATATATCTGATTGTGAACACACTCTCTACCAGTTTAATATACATATTCAAATAGCTATTCACGACGAAATGTAGAACAATTAAGTGTTATGTTCAACACAATGGTCATAGCGAGAATGCCTCTGACTATTCAACTGCGACTAATCTACCACATATTTGAGTTAGTTGAGAATTAATAAGCGATATCAATTGCTAAAGATAGTTAGTTCTCAGTAATGTTTTTGTTATTTATTTGTCAGAATGTTTTAGGTAGTATTTGTACATTTCTGTCCTTGTCTCACCTACTGCAGCCGGCAAGCGGCTTGTATTGTAAGATATGTTTCAGTTGACGGTTGTAAATATTTGCTTGGATGATTCAACACGTATCATATGATAACATGATATCAGTATTTCATTTCATAAATATAGGCTACGGTGACCATTTACCATTACGTGAGTGGTCAGCTTATTTGCCATTCCAGTTACATAATAAAGAACAAGAGTTTCTCTGCGTGATAGTGATTCAAATGAGGAAATCCGCAGAAGAACCTGAGTGACCGACACAGCCTGAAGAATTGAGAAACTGAGCTGGTAATGAGCTTGGCACATAGCTCACAGTACAGGTGGCCATTAGGGCAGTAATGTTCTCGAGTAGCCTGTTATGTTGTATGTATTCATTAATTTTAGGGCCCACTTTAGGGATGTTCTCCATACTGGTCTTGGAATGACTGATGCATACATGATGGAACGCGTAATGGTGGCTTTAGATCGAGGTACATCCCCCTTCGTTACAATGGCTACTTTTGCTAAAGCCTTCTCTCTATATCTGCGAGGCGATTTAGAGGAACGGATTGCCTATGCATTTACGGTTAGTATGTAGGTTTATTTATAATTCAAGAATTATAACGAGGGTTTTAAACAATCAATATTTTCAATTGAGATATTTTTACAAATTTCATTGAACCCGTTCGTATTGTCACATTTGTAATATTAGTATGTACTCTTCATGTCCTTAATAATACATACTACATGATATATATATACCACATAGACATGCTCTATGGCAATATTGGTAGACTTGAGACCGTTCGGATATCCTCGAATTTATCATAGTTTAGAAGACACGAGGTGCGCATCTGTGCAGGGTGTCTATTGTAGACTGGGATTAAAAGTTTTTGAGACAGATTCTGCGATAAGAGGACCGTACGACCCGTGCGCAAAATAATCAAAAAGTAGATTTAGATCTTAACTAGTTTGTGCCGTATTTAATTATTATAAATAAAAAACACAAAAAGTTGAGATGCTAAGTATAAAAGTCCGAAGTTATGGTCCTTGTGAGAGTCTTTAGTCACATATGTATGACTCATATCATAATAAGATTTGATTCAAATATCATATATATTCATTCAAATGACTCTATTCGGATTCCCACATAACTACACATTTCATACATATACGTAACATACTGGATATTTTTTAAATTGTGTACGCAGTAGCATTTAAAAACAAGAAACAATAAAGTTTTTAATTCCAATCAGCTTATTGCTTAGTCTACAAGCCTTAAACCAAAGTCTCATTAATGAGACGACTGCATTCAACAATATTAACGCGCTGAACGAATTATATTAATTAAGATAATTAATGAGATAATTAAGTAAATGCTTTCATTAGGTTCTATTAAACCTGCAATACAATGTTAATAAAATATTCACCGTACTTTTGTTGATATTTCATGGGATAATAAAAGTCCGCTAACTTCTAAATTATTACCTTAATTTGAATTTATTGCAGTTATTCCTTAAAATTTGTCGTCGCCTAGTACCTAGAATCTAACTCATAGTTATGAGTTCAGGTCAACTCATGAAGGAGTATTTTTGTGTTTTAATTTATATTTCAGACTAATTCTCTAGTTATAGACAAATCTATAACAAACCATTATTATTGTTGTTGTGTATCCACAGTGCTACGATTTGCTCGGTGAAGGGTCACTTAGAAGAGAGACGATGTATCAGTTAATGAAGAAAAGTTTAGCCAAAGCATCTAGGGATGACGATGTTGAAGAAGCAGTGAAGGTTAGATTTAATCATATTTTTTTGTTAATTGTCGTAGTTAATTTCTAGGATAATATGGGTGCGAAATAAACAAACTCTTTATTTTTAGAATATTACTATAAACAAATAACTAAATCGCCACAGTGCGCATTTCTAATACTATTAAAATACTACTGAAGTGGACGATGGTGGCAGGTTTATAATTAATTCTGGTACACTTTAAAATGCGAATTTCAAAGTAAATAGTAAAGGGACGTTTTATAGAAAGTCACTAACTTCGAGGCTTGAAATATATCCTGTAATTTGATGCTCTGTAAGCACGAACTGAGAATCTAAAATTCAATTTGCTATAATTTGTATACAATTTATTGAAATAGGGTATATTTGGCGGTGTCTCTTGGGCCAAAATAAATTGAAGGCAAATGAAATCTATTTATTTGCTAGAAGATTTATTGTGATATTAATTTATTTAACTTCAATGCACACAATACAGAATATAGTAAAGTATAGTTGGCGAACTTAACACGACGCGTCATTAATGAATTTGCTTTTGAGAACATATGCTGTGGTTATAATTTATAGAGACATTGTAGCTTAATAAGAGGATGGCTAGATTGATAGATAAAAGTTTATTTACATTAAAGTATGTATATTTATTTGCTTTAAATATAGATATGCAATACTACCTGAACTTGGTATATTATTAATTATTTATTATGTTAGAATAAAGATCGTCATAGTGCATAAAAGTAGTGTGCTAAGATTAGGATTAGAATCTGGAATAGTTTATGCTTCATAATTTATTAATAACGAGAGAGAGTGAAAAATTTCTATTTTATGTGTATGTATTTATAATATTCATTGCACGTGCTTAAATTATACCACAATATTAAATATACGATTGATTGCAGACGAACATAGATTTATTATGCACATTGTTCAACTCGAGCAGAGTAGAAATAGACGTTAGTTATTTACAAAAATAATATAGCTGCGATCTGTCCTAGACTGACAGATTTATTCGTTATATTCTACTATTGCTGTACCATTATACTACTACAACATCTGAAATAAAACGTTCGGTGGAATAAATATCGAATAGTAGTCAAATCATTAATTAATTAAAGTACCTACCTATCTACCGTCCCAAAAATACTCTAAGAAATGTACAATGGAAATATTTTATTTACATTTTAATGTAGATATTCTATAATATGACTCGTTGTAGTAATATATGAATAGATGTATACATAATTTAGATCATGAATACATATCATCAGAAGGCTAAGTAATAGACTTAAAACTTGATATTTGAAATTAACATTGAAATAAGCTAAGTTAATAAAATACCCTAGTAGCATATCATATTTATAATACGATATACGATAAGATTCCATTAAATGATAAATTTAGATGAGAGACAATATAATAATAAATAATATAACGTAATAGAAATTAGACAATAATTGGATAAGAACAATAAAACTATATTAATACAGTCCGATATTTTCTCATAATGCCGTTAAACTATTGTAGTAAATATAATTCTACAAAACATGTTAACAATGAATACAAATATACAATAGTATATTACTTCTGTTTCCTAAAGTTTTCTAAATACATAAAACTTTAGGAAATAGAGGTAATATAAAAAGCGCCACCTTTCGTTACAATGAAACAATGCGAAAGCAATCTTTCACTGAAAGCAAGGACTGAAGCATGAAGTCTACGAATGTTTCACTTCACATTGCTAGAGGCTTAAAAGCAACAAATAATAGTTTTCCTTCAAAAAATTGTTTAATACACTGTGTATTAAAATTAATTGTAAATATAAATAGGTACTGTAATTATTCTAGATATATAATTTCCGTCTCTAAATATAATTACCTAATAACGTGGCAGAAAAGTAAAAACATGTTTATTTTCATGATAAGTTTCAATTTTGCAAATTTACTTGCAGACCTATCTATGAGCATTTTATGAAACTACAAAGTAAATAGACTTTATCACGAGAACGACTAGATGTCACTAATAACGTAAACATGAAATTATGTACTTTTATGTAGGAGTAATTTTTATGTGTCTGTTATGTAGAGTAAACTGTAAAATTATACACTGTTACTAATTTATGAACCTCTGCTACTAATAAGAGCACTATACACACTCCTAATAGGAACACTATACATACTCTTACTGGTAGGTCGTCAGAAATAAGTAGATATTGAGATAATCTTAAATTTAAAAAATAACTGTGTAAATACTGAATAATTATAATATTACTGTAATAGTTTACAGTAGAGTCGAAGAGAACAATATTAAATCAATTTAGTTTCTTAATGTGAAAATTGTATTAATCATCATTATTATACATAGTATAAAATGAAGTACAGCGACTTTATTTTATACTATGTAATAATGATGATTGACGCTGTCTGACCCTATGTATGCTTAATTCTTTAAAGCTACGCAACGGATTTTAAAGCTGGCTTTTTTAATAGATAGCGTGATTCTATAGGAAGGTTTATATATATATAATACATGTACATCCTTGCGAAGCCGGGGCGAGTAGCTAGTATATATATCCAGGTATAATTTTTCATCCATTAAAAATATCTATTGTACGTTACATGACATATGTGAGTTATATGAGCGTCAAACATTTTTATATATCAATAATATTTAATTTTTATTCATAGCTATTTATATAATTGCTTTTTCCCTTAAAAGTAAATACACTGTACATAAAACTGAAACCAGTATTTATTTATACATATACAATTATACGTTTATTCGTATGTAAAATTATTTATAGAAATCTCTCAGATTACAACTCAATTAAGTTTTATAAATAAATTGTAACTACCTACTGTTTTAGTCAAATTATTTTATTTCAAAGCGAACTCTATAATTGTAGCAAATAATGAGCGTCATATTTTATAGCAAATAAGCTATTGTAATGAAAGATTTTATTTTGTCTAATATTTCGCCTAAACAACCTTTTTAAATATGAAGTTACTAATGATGTTTTGTCTATATGCACATATTGTACCTACGCAAGATTTTCTTACGACGTTATTTTCTCTTATAAAAGTTTCAAAGAACTCATTATTTTTTCAGTTTTCTTAGTTTATTTTTATTTAAGTCTTAATTAAATCACAGAGGTGCAATAATCTTGGTCTTAAATATAAACTTTTAGCCTTCCATAGATTTATGTTCTTATAGTTAGGATTACTAATGCCACAATGCTTTTTGTGACATGATGTTAATTCTGCAAAGCATTTATGAATATATAGGAGACAGTTATTATTTTCCATAAACTGGCCATTTATGATGTGTCAATCAGATAGTGAGGCCTGATCTCGTTATATGTATATGAATTATTCGGACATAGTACTTATTAAGTAATAGTTGATATTATTTGAAAGTTCCATCTCGTATTTTACTGCATTTTTGATTATTTATTGAGACAAAATGTGTTCGCCCTCGTGATATAATGTAGGGACTTTCTTGATAATTTTATTAAGATTTATTTAGCCGCTTAATTCTAAGAAGGTATTAAACAGACGCTTTTATAATGTTAGTGTTTATTTTGACATAACATTTTAAGTTTTAACTTTTATTCAAATATACACTGTTTGAGGGTTCTAATACAGAATTAATGATATTATTCGGCAGGAACTCGTGGACATCATGTTAAAACGTATGGATTTAGATTTGGATGGTGTAATTAACTTCAAAGACTTTCACGACTGTGTAGTGAAAACTCCTTCTCTACTAGAGAGTCTTGGCTACTGTCTTCCAGAGAGACCAGCTGTTTATTCTTTCATTGCAACGTGGTGTCCTTCTTGGGGAAAAATGTAAATCATTAATAAATGCATCTACCATATTGTGTCATTTCTTTGTATCTGCTTTATGTTTTCATATGTAAAAATATATATTTATATTTATAACATAGATATTAAAGTGTTTATAGATCTAAGTCACAAACACAATAAAAAGCTAATACAGTTCTCTGTAGTTTTCTACGAAGGTGAAAACAATTCTACTCTTTAATAGTTTTCATATAATAAATTTATAACTTGATCTGAGTTTATAGTTTTGTTTAGAAGTTGGCAAGATGTAGTTTTGTTTATGTTACTTACTGCAGCTTGTCTACAGTTGAATATGGTATAGTGTATTTACCTGCGCTAATGATATATATATCTACTGGCGAGGCACTAGTGGACGATAATAGGATGATGACGAAATTAGCTCGGTTAGCCTACCATGATGAATTTGCCAGTAATTAATCACGATGGTTTATAGGGACGATAATATTGAACTCGACCTGATTAAGAACATAGTTAGCAATGGGGTCACTAGTCCTCATTACTATCAATTCCTCCTGCCATTGCAGGCAACGTCTTAAGTGGTCATGTCGTCTTTTCTCGATAACATTGAAATTTAGTAACCATTAAACCCCACCGTTACAAATCTTGAGCCTCCACTTAGCAAAATAAGTTCATTCGCAGTGAAAATGGATCTGATAAAAAAGGCGAATTTCACAACGAAGCCAAATGTATTCAATTTTTTTTTCGTTTATATATGAATTAGTGTATTTACATTTATGTACTTTGTTCTCTTAAGGATGCATTACGGCAATATTCATAAATTTAATTTAATATATACTAATCACGTTTAATTAACCATTAATTATACGTTATGTTCATACTTACTTTTTATTTATATTTGCTTTAAGTTACTCCTTTAGTTAATATCTTCTTTTATATTGCACGGCTAAATCACAGGAAACATTATATATGGTGCTCGTACATAATCTGAAAAGAATTAACCAAATGTTAAGTTATGAAATATGATGTTATGAAATATCCGGGATATATAATAACCAGACATATATTATAGTATTAAATATACCAAATTTCATATTCATATAATATACACATACTCGTATATTTACGAGATTAAAAAGAAGGAGTCGACTATTGTTTAATAAATGATTTCATAGTGGAACGTAATGCTTTTTTTAATAATACTCATACATGAGCCATATAACAATGTGACAGTATATACATATACAATCAGCACTATATCTTCGAAGTCAGTGAAGTGAAGAAGACCAGTGACATGTTCCGATATGTCTTCATAATTATCTCTCTTAAGCTCGTGTATCATGCAAACGCCTTCATTCATAAGGCCTAGTATGTCTGTTGGTGACCGACCGCCACAAACTCTTTTAATATTTTTATTACAGTCCACCGGTCCATTACAATGTCTGTTATTTCAAGTTAACATTATTTATAATATTAAATTTTTTACAATATTTTTGTAGTCACATAGTGAAATTTTTAAGCATCTTATTACAAATTTCGTGGAAGAATTTTATTAGTAATATATTTTAGGCACGCCATAATGTCAAATAACATTGTGATATATTTTCTTCATAATAAAATGTGATGTGGAAGCGAAATAGAACACAATGTTACGTTAACAAAACATAATCAATGTTTCAACAATAAACGCGGTGAAGCTTGTGACGAACGTTTTGGTATTTGATACTAAAAACAATAGAGTTACTTCCTTTCTTCAGAATTTTGAGCGGATGTCGAAGTTTGTACACGCGACATTGATGAAGTGAGAATTTGGTATATAATAATTCTTGGTATATTAATAAAAAAATACACATTTAAGCTTGAAAGCAGTGTAGTTTGATTATATAAAGTTGTAGTAAGACTCAGACTGACAAAGTTCCAGACTCAGACTGGCAAATTGTCAATCTTATTTCTTTGCATTACTATTTTAGGTTTCGGTATTCAGTTATTTCTGAGATTTTTATTTAGTACTAACTGACCCAGTGAACTTTGTATCGCTTGGAAATAATTATAAATAGTCACTGAATATCGTGATTCGCTACTTAAACATAGACTGGGTGACTGATTGACCGAGTAACCTGGAATAATAAAGACCATTCCATATTTGACAATGTCAGCTGTCATTTGTTCTAGATATATTTGTTCACAGTTGAATCGAGTTTTATTATATATATTTCTAAATATCTTTCTTTTTGTGAATATCTATAAAATAAACAATATAATATCATTATTATAGTTATTTTACTATTCGAGGCAGACACGTATCCAATATATCAATAAACATTGAAATTTGTCTATCCATACTCGGTCTAAAAGTTAAGAAGTATAATTCATATTATAATTAACAATTATTAAAATTATTTGTAATTTTTGTTTCTTATGGACACATTCGACAAATTTACTCTGTATATTATTAATCTTGCTCTACAATAACATTTTGAGCTACATGAGTGCGTGAATGTGTTATTTTATTAATTATAATCTTAATACTTGAACGGTATATCATATGATTAAAGTCTTGCTGTATAATCTCCTTGATAAATATATAATGAATATACAATAAACAAAGAAAACAAAAAATAATGCTTTTATGCTATCAAAAATCACTGTCTATTGGAAACAATGGACGAACCGCAGAACACAATATAAAACGCAGTCTAACGTCAGAACTTTCCCTATAGAATATTCTCGGTTACTTGCAACTAACGAAGTACAGAGTCTGTAAAATACAAAGAGTTTATTTTTAATATATCTATAATCAATAGGTAGGTTATATCTTTGCGTTATTGTGAAAAATGATCTGACTCTTTGATATTGAATAGAATAATAATTCTCAAGTTTAATACTTATATTTTCACTGTTAAATAAATGTCATTGACGTTTCGAGATTGACGAACGAGAGATTCATGTCTCTGCATATAATGGACTTGGAAATTTATAATCGGACTCAAATGTAATGTGGTTAATAATTGCTTAAAGAGGGATGATACTCGTTAGAAATACTACTGTAACTACAAAACAAAATACAAAATACATTGTACTTTTATAACCAAAAAGATAGTCATTATATGATTATTCGGCTGAACTATTTCAAAAGTACTATCACTCGGTAAAAGATGTGTTTATTACATGAAAAGTATATGTGCACTAACCATTTAGTCTTTTGCAGTTACCTTAATTGTATAAAATACTCGGAACATTTATGGGAAGGAATTTCTCAGAATGCCGAGCTACACATACTCAAGTGAGGATTTATCATTATGAAGGATTTGTTTGATAGGAACTTTTCACAATATGAACAACTCTACAGACATCGTTCATACGCTGTTCCTATCAGACAGAACCTTTTCATTAGTAAATCTTATTTATTAGCTGATTTTGATTGAAAATGGTTTGCTATTTTTTAAAACAAGTCATCGAAAGTCTAGCATTAAAAGAAAAGAATGAACTAAAATCTCTGGGTGGATAAACGCTGCTGTCGGTTGCAATAAAACCGATGTGCTCAATTTGTTCGTTCATTCAATGTAATGACAACGTTCATAATAGATTTCCAATTTCCCTCCGCAGACGAATGTGGAAATATATGCATCTTGATTTTAATGTCATTTTAATCATTTTGTATTTTAAATACATTATTAGATTCAATACCATGGTTTGCGTCTCTTTTATTTTTTATATAATTGTAATAGCAAACAAGGCTACGGCACACTTGACGGTGATACCAATTACCAATATATATATATTATATGAACAGTACTACTGACATCACGTCAATATGTGAGCCCGTCATATCACTCAGGCGTTGTTATTCCAGAGGACTAAGACTTTTACTTAAGACGTCTTACCTAAGCAAGCTGTTTGGTAGCTAAATTAGGTGAGATTGAAACACAGACGACTTTACTAAGTCTACCTCGGAAAAGATTTTAGTATAGTTTTAACATGATGTATGCGTGCAGAAAATAGTATCAATCCCGCTTGAAATAGATTTGAGCGAAAAACGATGCTTAACATACCAATTTATGTTTTTAAATTGTCTAAGAATTTCTCCGATGCACACTATTAAATTCAGAGGTCCACCGGTTTAGTAGAAGATAGGTAATAAAAAGGCATAATAAATAATATAATTATTTTATTTTAAATATAGACTTCAATTTTAACAAATTTTAATTCAGTTTCCATTAGTGCATTTCACGATAAATTGCGTTGATAATTTATAAATAAAATATTTCTCGCTAACCCTCTTCTTTCATGATTTCTCTATTTCTTTAGTTTTCAATTATTTAATTGCTTTCATGAAAGTTTGCTTTCAAGTGTGCGATGAACTTTCCATTACCAAGTTGGATATTTCTTGGTAATTTTTCAATTTTCATGCTAGTATTTATATGTATTTTACTTCACTTGGTAAGTAGAAGTATAAGTTTTGGCTATTAAAAATCTTGACGCTACCAAACTAAATAAATCTTAATTGTACCTATAAAACGTTGTGTCGCAATTTTTAATTTAGTCTTATTTATTTCTTTGATATTTTTTCTTTACATTGAAAAGGAAAGCTAATTCAATAGCTTTCCTTTTAAACTAACTAGTTCGATGTATTTTATTTAAGTATTCTTTAGAAAGATTCTGAACACTCTGAGAGGTAATAAACAGAATGTGGAATATAATTAAGACCAAGGTAAAACTATTAATATTTATTTATTTATGAAATATTGTTTGGTAATTTTATTGTTATAAAATACAATAATGCGGATTCAAGAACATTTTTTTGACAGAGCTCTTTTCGCAAACAAAAGAGAGATTAAATGTTTCGGAATTATTTGAATTAAATTATTTTTGTACTACAATTTTAAATAAAGGTTTATAATATGCAAAGTGTAAAAATAACATAGTACCACCACGCATTCGAAATTTTGTTTAATAATCTATAATTAACAATGCGGGGTGTCGAACATTGTTGAAATGTTTCACATTTAATACTGAAATCGGATTATGATGATACAGAGTTTATGTAATTAATACAAATAAAGTTTTAATT